ACTTGTGAACCTCCTCCCAAGATTGGGCATGCCTTTGTTGCAAAAAACAGCGAGGGCAAGTTACGAACAATGGAAAATGCTTAGGGCTTTTGGGCGCAATCAACCACATTTGGAGACATGTTTTAAACGGATTGCCGGTAGAGATTCAAATACCGTTTGCACTGAGATTGTAAACCAACTCTTTACCGACTCCATGGAACAAAATGATGTCGATACAATCGGTTGCTTGGGCTGTGATAAAGCGACCTCTTCCTATAGAAAGAAACACAAAACAAGTGGCTTATTGGGTGTGTCGGTACCCTGAAAAAGTTCCAACCAAAGGTTTTGATTTCCCTTGCAGGATAGCATGGTGAGAGACCCTTGAAAGAGGCCCTGAACCACAAAGACCTCATCTCAAGAGACGTTGGTGACCCAAAAATGAGGATGTCCAAAAGTGTTCTGAGGGGTGGACATGAAACCATATAATTTATGATTTCCAGCTGCAGCTTCTCCAGCTTGGTGAGGACTTCTTTCCTTTTCAGTTCAGCTTCCTTGACCTGCCTGGAAGCTTGTTGGCGACATCTCTGGATTCTTGGTACATTGGGCGACGGTCAGGGGCCCTTGAAGATTTGTTTGTATTGGTGGATTGACTGGAACCTCCCATGTTTTCTTCGGAGTAGATATCGTTGTTTTGGGTGTGTTCAATGCAAGATTCACTATTATGTCATTGGTCTATTTACCTTCCAATCTGGACGCCAGCAAGCTGGCAGCCAGATGGGGAGTAAAAAGGTCCTACTTGGTGTTGGATTCAGGTCGGCGAGTTATTTGCCATTGATGGGGCAAAGTTCAGTCCCCAGATCATAAAAGTTGCTTTGTGTAAAGGATCAAAGCTTTTTGAAGGTTCATGCTCATATTGTGCGAACAGATTGTAACAGACTGTTTGTTGGAGTCTTGCTGCCAGCAAGCTGGCAGCCAGACATAGGAAGTGTTGATCAAAGGGCTTCAAGTCTGGCCACCACCTGTCTGCCAGCCATATGGGGCGGCAAGTTGTTAACGTTCAAGTACCTTTAAGATTGCGTTTTCTCTCTCTTACATTCTGGCCACCAGCTAGCTGGCAGCCAGATTATGGGCCAACAGTCAATTGGATTTGCATGGATTTGCAAAGGGGTTTAATGACTCCTCACGCACATATCGTTTACCATTAAGAGACACATGAAGGTTTTGACAACCCAATGAAAACTAATGCGCCAGCAAGCAAAGCGTGGCCTCAAATTTTGAGCTTCGTAAAGGCTTTGATCCGCAGTGAGGGCACACTTGAAAGCATTGAAAGCCGCCTGCTGGCTTGCAAGCCACGCGTTTTTGGATTGAAGCTGTGAAGCAACGAGAAAGCTGTGCTTGGACTTTCCCATTGCCTCCAAGGGTTGTGGGACTTGCTGTTGGAAAACAATGGAAACCGTGTCGCAGCAACAGTTTCTGGTGAAACATTGCGAACGCAAAAAACCAATCTAAAGCCAAGAACTTGTTTGAAAGTAAGATCAAACCAGTCAAACATGACCCTGAAACCAGAAGGTTCAAAGGCACTATGGGACACTTTTCGACGACTTCTCCTCGAGGACAAAAGGCACCCTGTGCCAATCAAAATTTGTAGCGCTTCTGCAACTGGCACGCAGGTCATCGTCCAAAGACCTTGGCTGTGGAAATGTAAAGCCACTGCAACTGTACCAATCCCGAATCTAGAAATTACATACCAAGCTGTCTTCACATGCCACAGGCACATTGGACCAAACATTTAGTGTCAAATGTTTGTCGTACCAAAACGGGATCTACCACGCTCGCACCTTTTTCCATCCTTTTCCATCCTTTTGCCAAGTCCAGTCAGGTCTGCGTAGAAGCCAACCGATCCTTTTCAAACTGCCTCCGTGCTTTTCGCCTGGCTTCACGTGCATTTTTCTTGTCACGTTGTTCTCGAAGTTTTTGCTCGACTGGAGTTGTGGGAATCATCTTCCCGTGGCGCTTCAAATTTGTTGGCTTTGATGTCCCTGATGGCGGCTTTGGCGTCGCTGTTGGTGTGGACAAGTTGACAGATGGCTCAACCGTCTCTGAAGATCTTGATGCACTTGAACCCGATGAAGTTTGCTGAAGGCGTGTACTCTGTTGTTGAACGCCTGCGCCCTCTCCAATTTGCAGTCTGGCTTGACAGTTGTGGACTGCGCCTCCCAACTGACTCTTCGCAGTTGAAACGCCGCAAGAAGCAGCCAGTCTCATGGCCCGAATGCGTTGAGTTGTAACAAGTCAAAATGCATAGCTTCGAGCAAGGTGGGCAGTGGCAAGACCCATCAAACTGACAAACCTCCAAAGTGTTGAAGACCCTCGCCCATTAAAACAAACGACTGTTTTTAAAAGGATCAAACTCACAAAAGTAGGGGGCAAAAGATAAAATAGGGCTTGTTGGTCTCGATGTATCTAACCCCCAACAGGTGGACACTTCTGAAAGGAACTGTGGCCTTCTAAATGTTTTCCTAGCAAAGGTGCGACAGGTTGCTCCGGTAGAAACACATCTGCAAAGTAAGTTGTAACGGGTTTTCTAGGACCAGCAAAGCTGCGAAGTTGTGACCAGTAAAGCTGCGAAGTTGTGACGGGTTTTTCTAAGCTGCAAAGTTGCGACGGGTTTTTCTGGGACCAGCAAAGCTGCGAATTTGCGACGGGTTTTTCCGGCAAAGAATGGTCAAGCTTATAGAATAACAATTCCAAATTGCCTTTCAGAATGTGAAGGGATTTCGCAAATGCAATGGCTTTTCAAATCAAACTCCACCACCAGTCTTCCAGCTGGAATTGCGACGGGGTTTTTAAAAACCCCATCACAAATAGCTATGTTTGGAGGTTTGCAATCACAATCCTGAAGTATTTCATTGTCAAAGCAAACGATTGGTTCCTCCCCAGGGCTATGAATTGCGACGGGGTTTTTAAAAACCCCATCACAATTCCTGAGCTCACTCCCCCTGTGCGCCATGACGGGTTTTTCCCTCGTTTCCACCCGTCCCAGGGTTTGACGGGTTTTTCCCTGCCCCCCCTTTTCCCTGCCGCCATCAAACTGTTCCAAGACACCCATTGTCCCACATCTCTTGAACCTTTTCCATGATCTCGGTGCTGATAGTGTCCGCCAAGAGCGGCTTGATGAAGAGCCACAGGCAAGTCGCGTCCATCAATTCTTGGTGGCGGTCCACATCCATTTGGTTGTTTTTCTGGCAGGGACTCACTTTTTGAACAGCGCACAAAGTTAAAACCTGGCAAACCCAAGCACTGCTTTGAATCCCCAAGAGCCTTCTCTTTGAAAGTAGCGGTCTTCTTCACTGCGCGGTTGAAATCGTTGTGTGCCCGCCGGAAGTACAAAACGCACGCCTCCGGTGTGATTGTCATCACACTGGGCCACAGCTCTTTGCCCTTGTAGCGGGCGCATTCCCCTCGATCATGGCCAGGAACATAATGACCAGCAGCCAGCACTTCATACGGAAATCCTGCCAGAACGTGGGAACAAGATGGAACAAGTTGCATTTTGTCCACCAACAAGTAGCACCACGTGTCATGAGTTTATGTCGTGAAGAAACAAGTTCGTTTTTTACCTTCAGGCACACTAGCTCACACTAGCCTTTTCAAGGCCTGTGGAATCTCACACGCAACTGATGTGGCAATGCTCGTGGCCCCCTCGGTGGCAAAGCGCAAACAAGCCCTTGCTGGACTTGACCACCAGTTGCAAGAAAACCCAAAGCTTGAGCAGGCCACCGTTGTCGCGGCTCTACCCCAGCTAATGAACGCAAGTACTGAACCGCCCTTCCGTATTGGGGGTATTTGGACAATGCCTCACTCAGTTCCACCAGGTCTGCGGCTCTGTCTGGGTCAAGGGTCGTTAGTTCGCCCTTGTGGGAGACTGAGTTCTTCCAAAAAAGTCGAATTCGCTCACGCTCGTCTCCCGGCACTACAAGCAAAGCTGGCTGGCACAAATCATGGTCGGCCATGTGGTGCTTGACCATGCAAAAAACGTCACCACCGCTCGGGGTATACCTTCTTGGCAAGCGTTCCGACAAAGGTAAATTTGGGTCCAAACCTAAGTCGCGACCAAGGGCTCACAACCATTTAGCCTCTTTAAAATCTTACAACAAAACATGTCAGACATCTGATTCTTCTCAAAGGAACGATCCCTGCATCGAAACACAAAATCATGAGGGACTTTGTCGTCATCCTCACCCTTCCTAGGCCTGTAGGCGTGGTCGAGTGTCATGATGTTGGGCACCAACTGCTTCCACGGTCTTACCTGAAAAATTGTTCAAAAGAATGGTTTCAACCTATCCACAACAGCAGCTCATAGTTAAAGCAAGGCGCACGATCCATGAGCACAACTTTGAAAAACTCTCCCCGGCTGTCAAAAATCGGAGCCACCTTCGACTCCAACAGCCTGCGAGCAGTCAAGTCGAAGCATGACGTTGGTTGTTACTCTGTCGCACTGCCTCCGGAAATCTTGGCTCGTCTGCAACTTGTCACCAGCGGCAAGCAAGTGGTTGGAAATATATCCAAAAACAGCATCTTAGTGCCGGGAAGAAACTGTGCAACAAATGACTTGACAGTGCTGATTCAGAGTCTGATGATGCCATTTTCAAGTTTACAGCCAAGGAGCCGATATCTTCGTGGGTGTGACCCACAGGGAGCATGTGTGCTCCGCATTCATCGTAAAACCCTCCACTGACCAAATAGGCCATCATGGCTCCAGACAATGAGTGCTTTAATTCCTTGACCGTGTTGTCATGTTGGATCCATAAGTTCCTTGGTGAAGCACGCCCACATCGCCGGTCTTCTTGCTGGCATACATCCACCGCATGTAGGATACACTCCCAGCTGTATGACCCTCCTGTGGATCCTCCCTCTTCACACAAAAAAACAAAGCAACCGTATCCGTGGCACAGCAACGCTGACACAGCCACGTGTGTGCGACTAATGCGCTCAAACGTTGCTCCCTTAGGCTGACGATGGTGCGGCCAGCGTGGAAATGCTGGTTTGCTTTTATCGAATCCATCGAATATTATACACAAAAGATCTTGGTGAGATTGTGAAACCTCGCGAGCGTGCCAGTATGCCTGGCGGCATCGCCACGTGAGCGACAAGTGTCCCAACAACTTGTCCGCTGATGTGGCGTGTTGAAGGAAGCTGTTGCTGTGCCTCATTTCACTCTTGAGTTGGTCGCATTGCTTGCAAATTGAGTGCTTTGAAAAGGGTCTGAATTTCAGCGCCTTCCTCCATGTCTTTGTGCAGGCGTAGAAAACAGCACGGCTGGCACAGGGTCTCTCTTCAGCAAGACAGGACGCTTGATATAGCACATACAATTGAGACCAGGTGCCAGGAGGAAGCTCCCGGGCACTGAGTCGCTTCGGGTCCAAGTGGGCAATTTGGTTTGAAGGCCCTCTCAAAGCATCACTCATCAACTCCGCCAACAATCGGTCTCTGGCTTCTTCATCACCCAGGTTCATATTGTTTGGCAAAAGCCTAAACATGCAAAGTGACAATGTGAGCTCTTATGATTCTGGCGTGTGCGATATGTTTCTGAACTGCTGACAAGAAACCCTGTCGGCATGGATTCGCTCACGCTGTAGTACATTTTTTGCATGAATGTATTGACCGATGCGCTTGCAGTAGCAGCTCTTGTTCGTGGCCCTTGGCCTTTGAGGCACCGTTCATCAAATCCCTGGAATGTCTTTCTCGTTCTGCTTACCCGACCATTGCCAATACCAAGCATGCGTTGAAAGCTGCGCCTGCAAACTTGCACGCCGCCCAAAGACCATTTGACATATTTTTTGGGCATGTCATCTTCAGACCCAGACTCGCTATCACCACTGCTGTCCTCATTGCCCATCGACGCCCCACCACACTGCATAGCCCATAACAAACTGTCTTGAGCTGGTTTCGCCAGGCTCCAAAATAGTCTGCATAACTCCAAGAGGTAATTGTACGCAATGGCCCTCCAGCACCTTGAAAAGCGCAACTGGTGAATGGAACAACGAACATGGTTGGTCTGATGATTCAATCATTGACCACACAGTTGCACTGCAAACTTAGGAAAGGGCTGTCGGCTGCACTTGCAACCACAAGCTGCTTTGTTGGCCAAAACCTTCTTGATCCTTTTTGGATCCGCGCCATTGGCATTGAAGAAGCTTTGGTCGTCCGCATGTGAGCTCATTCCTTTCAAACTAGCCAAGTGGCTGAAAGTCAAATCTGCAGCACGCTGGATTCCAGGTTTCCTTGGAAGGTGCAGTTGGTGATGATCAAACTTTTCGAACAAACAAGCCGTGAATATCTTACTCATTGAAAAACAAGGTGTAATCAAGAATCTTCGTAGGTCCTTCAGACTCCTCAGTCTCAGAACCATCCCTCGAAGCATCTGAGCTGCTTGGGCTCCATCTGCCGAAGGGTTTTCCCTTCGGAACAGCTACAGCTGGACTTCGTGATCTAGACTCAGCACGCCATTTCCCCATGGCAAGCGGAATCCCAATGTAACGTTAAGCAAGAGTTTGCAACAAAGGTTCACTTAAAAGCTGTAAGCTGTTGGTTGAGTACTGATGTGAAAAACATATGCCTGCTTACTCTGAACATGTTTGCAACTTGTTTTCCAGCAAAGCTACACCCTGAGAAAGCAATTAATTCCACAGCAAAGATGAAGTCAAATTGAAAACCAATCAAAGATTCAACACACTGATACTGAGCAAAGTTAAAAAGCAATCCCAGCGTACCTGAACAACTATGTTTGTGTTGGTCGTAGTGCTCTGCCAAAATTGTCGTAACCTCTTCTGGACAGCGCATGAGGTTGGTGATGATCCTTTTCTTTGCAGGGTCGATGCGCCACTTCTTCACAGTGACAGTCTTGTTGAATTCAGTCACCACATGATTGATGCCCTGAAATAGTGGGACCTTTTTCCCGGTTGACTTGACATGCTCTTCCAACGCCAAGCCAAGCTGGCCAACGAAGTCAAGCGCCGAGGGCTGTTGCTTCTCGGCCGTTTCTTGTCCCAAACCTTGGAGTATAATTCTTTCAACGCACCCAAACAACAGTTGTCAAGCGCAACAATGCCATGTAGAGTATTCGTTGTGAGAATACTATACTGTTAATTAAGTATGCAACGCAAGGCTTCGAAATGGTACTCCATTTGTGTCTTCTTGTGCTGGTACTGTGCCTTGAAGAACAGCAAGGTTCTGATCAAAGGTAGCAAGTCGTCACTGTCCATTTCTTCAGGAGAGAAACCCTCAGCTGCGCAAGAAGACCAAAAGATCAATCATTGCCATGAGTGGAGCATCCTACATGCGTGCCGGGTTTCGATCTTGTCGACCATCGCGATAATGCTCTGAACAATGAGCCCTTTTGAGAATCCATCCACATAACGGATAGAAAACGCGTCCACCGTCCTCGTCGAGGTATTTCCGAACTTGATTTTGAGAGGTTCCCTATATGCATCAAAATTGTTGTACAAGATGTTCTTGAAGTGGTATTTCAAGTTCGCCATGTGCGGCCAGACTTGGTTGAGTGAGTGGCAACGAATGGACATTATTTTATTGCTGAGCATTCACGAATCACAATAATGCATCCTGGTAACACCCATGCTTTGCCGATACACTGTAATCAAGTTGGTCTACAGTGACCACCATGTCATTGACAGAATCCGTTGGAATCACAGTCACCTCTTGGACTGGTGGAGCAACCCTGCTGTGCACAATGCGACTGATGACCCGCTCAAACTTGTCACGGTCGGAGTACTCGCTGTTCAACCATTGGCCCAGGTTCATGTCTTGAGTCACCTTAAGCCAGGTTTGTTTGAGGGACATGCTTACAAGAAAAAACATGAGATCACACACTGTAGCTTGACTGAACCTGATCTCAGGAAAGTCGAGATCGATGCAATCAAGGTCATCCGATTTGAGGCGATGAAGGCGACTGAGCTAAAGACGGTGTTGAAGCAGTCCCAAATCAAATCCCTGCAAGATTTGGGCTTTGCCTCATCACATAGTTCTTCTTTCTCTTCTTTCACACCCTCGTCCCCCATGACTACGAACCAAGTGTCACGTTCGTGTTGGGAGCTCTTCCACAGTCTCTTGTTTGAGCCACCAAGCAAAAAACAAAAACTGTGCTGCATTTCTGATGCGCTTGCCCTAACGAGTAGGTTTTTGAGTGATTGAACATGTGACTTGGACATGTGGAAGAGATGCAATTGACTCGCAAACTGGCAGGCCAGACCAACTGTCAGCCTGAAGTGGCCAGCAAACTCAGATCGACCTGTGCAGAGTGGCAGGGATGGATGGGTGGATGGGCGGAGGGATTTGTAGTGTAGGGCCTGCGTCTCTTCTTCTTTTGGTCATTTTCCTGCCATAGCAGGAGTTTCATTGTTGTTTTTGGTCGACATGACGAACAGAGAACACATACAATCCGGGCTTTGTGGGCACGCAGCTTGTCATAGTCCATAGCCTTGCAGGGTAAAAATGATTGTGCAGGAAGACTCCCGGGTACCTGGAACTTCAACTTAACATGAACCCAACCTTGAGGAGACAGCAAAGGGCAGCTCCAACCGCTCTCAGGTGCATTGCATTTCCAGCCAGTTGGCCCATGACCTGATGAGGTGAGGTTCGTAAGGGGCAAAAGAGAGTTGCAAATCAATGATTGGAAAACAAACCTAGCAAGATTTCCAACATGCCAGATTTGCTGAATCAGTCACAGATCCTGCATCAATCCGATGCATTGGAAAACCTTGGAGCATCATCTTTTCAATGCCTGCCAGGCACTACGTGGATAGCGTCTCAATGAGCCTTGTGAGAGAAGAAAAAGAGAAACTGCGGCACAGCCCATCCAGCCTAATACCTGCCGCCCCTTGTCACGGAGCCAATACTGACCGCCCGGCCTGAATAGGTAACGGAATGCTACCAAAAGATTTCCAATATATAGTTCTAGTTCTAGCCCTATTATGTTCGATGTATTGTTTTGTCATGCAAATATACCTGGCTAAGTTTCAGGCGTGACGCACACAAAGTTGGACACTGGCATGTCCAGGATGAAAGGCATTCGATCGATGCTTTGTGACACGTCGCAGACCACCCAGTTTCGAGCATGGACTGTGAGGATGCTCATGGCCTGGCGTTGTGCTAGTCCAAAAAAACCAAAGGCGTGAATGAAGGTGGTAAAGACAAGCTTAGGGCTAACTTGCCAGAGGGTGGAAGTTTAAAATGCAACCTAAACCGAGCCTGGATGGCTCGTTGGCTTGTGACATGACACGACGGATCCGACATCATCTCCTGGGCGATTTTGTTGGCCTTGTCTTTGTTCACCTCCACAGGAAGAGCTGCCACTTGCTCAGCCTATGTTTGTGTGCAAAAAGCAATACAGAAGGTCAGCCTTCTTCAATTTCATGAATTCCCAATTCCGGTGACGCCATCGTGGTTCATCCTCTTCCGGCCTTACACATGCATAAAACTGATCAGGACTAAGTGCGGACTGGATACAACAGCATCAAAACATGAAGGCATTGCGCAGCCTCGCCCGCATATCAAAGAAATCTTGTCGTTGGAGTTTCCTCGCTCCAGCCTGACTCTCTGCGGTTGCAACATTTACGACATCCCAAAGACATGTAAGCTTACCTCGTTTTTGGTCTTCCTTGCCACCACATGCTGATCGGCGTCTCGCAGAAGGAAAGTCTGCCTGATGCTTTCCAGAGTTCAATGCCGACATTTTTTACAAGCACTAAAAATCAACAAGTGAGTCGCTGACCATGGAATGTACTTGCCCTCAAATCCTTGATGGAGCAAAGCCAAACTGGCATCAATCAGCCCCTCGAAAGAATACGCTTGCTTGCTGAACTCGTCATTGATCATGAAGAAATAGAATCGCCGTCTTGAGGTCAAAGAACCCAGATCAGCCCTGCAGGCTGGGGGTGACATCGCTATCATAAAGTTTCTTCAGATTCATGGCAATCGCAAGCCTGTGTAAAAAATATCTGAATTGATGAGCAAGCTTCGGATCAACGGTGCGGTA